GGCAACAAAACCAACAGTTAGCTTTAGGCAACAAAACCAACAGTTAGGTTAAGGCAACAAAACCAACGGTTAGCTTTAGGCAACAAAATCAACAGTTAGGTTTAGACAACAAAACCAACAGTTAGGTTTAGACAACAAAACCAACGGTTAGCTTTAGGCAACAAAACCAACGGTTAGGTTTAGACAACAAAACCAACGGTTAGGTTTAGACAACAAAACCAACGGTTAGCTTTAGGCAACAAAACCAACAGTTAGGTTTAGGCAACAAAACCAACGGTTAGCTTTAGGCAACAAAACCAACGGTTAGCTTTAGGCAACAAAACCAACAGTTAGGTTTAGGCAACAAAACTAACAGTTAGCTTTAGGCAACAAAACCAACAGTTAGGTTTAGACAACAAAACCAACAGTTAGGTTTAGACAACAACACCAACAGTTAGGTTTAGACAACAAAACCAACAGTTAGGTTTAGGCAACAAAACCAACAGTTAGGTTTAGACAACAACACCAACGGTTAGGTTTAGACAACAAAACCAACGGTTAGGTTTAGACAACAAAACCAACGGTTAGGTTTAGGCAACAAAACCAACGGTTAGGTTTAGGCAACAAAACCAACAGTTAGGTTTAGGCAACAAAACCAACGGTTAGGTTTAGGCAACAAAACCAACAGTTAGGTTTAGGCAACAAAACCAACGGTTAGGTTTAGGCAACAAAACCAACAGTTAGCTTTAGGCAACAAAACCAACAGTTAGGTTTAGGCAACAAAACCAACGGTTAACTTTAGGCAACAAAACTAACGGTTAGCTTAGGCAACAAAACCAACAGTTAGGTTTAGGCAACAAAACCAACGGTTAGCTTAGGCAACAAAACCAACAGTTAGGTTTAGGCAACAAAACTAACGGTTAGCTTAGGCAACAAAACCAGGAATAAGGATCCTAATTGACTTTCCATTGGCATAATTTGCATCCTAAGCGACAAGAAAATAATTGACAATTCATGTCCCTGAACGCAAAACCTATAGATTACATTTTGTAACTTTTTCACAATCTGCAGTGATACTGGGCTGGCTGACCACGTGGCTCTGGCTTGAGGCCGGTATAGCGGCCTGTAATCACAGTCCTTCCTGCCTGCTACTGTAGCTGAGAGGGTCCAGAAGAGCCAACGTCGCACACTATCACCTGCTACTGAACTTCACTCACAAGCCACATCATGGGGCAGATCAGGTCCAGCAACTATTCTGCTCTTGTGCTACTTCCAGTCCATATTATTTAGGTTCAAATGCTCATTTGGCAGAAGGCCAAATGGAAAACGAGGTACTACACATCGACAGGAGGTTGTTAAAGTCCAAATGAGTGTAGTAGTTTTGTTACAGCGAGAATGCCTCAAACTCTTCTGTCCACGGTTGTTGGTTTGAGAAAGACAAGCAGGCCGACGGCTCAGTGCCGGTGCCGGGAGTCCTGGCTGAAGCCGCCCGGGGACCCCCGGTTGCGATGAGGTTTGTAAGAATCCTGGTAGGGGTCCTGGTAGTCCTCCTCCACCAGAGGCGAGTGGTCCCGGCTGTGCTGTGAGCCCGAGGACAGACGGTTGCGGTTTTTCCGAGCCTGCTCGTTATGGTAGTTCTCATCGGCGGGCATCAGGCTGTGGCGCTCAACGGGGGAAAGGTCCGTCGTTGTGTGGTTGCTGTTGCGGTTTCTTTGGGCCTGTTTGAGAGAGAAAACACTGATTTGGTAAACAGTTTAGCAGCAATATATACAGAAGCTGCATGATTCATGATGTTAAACATGATACAACGTTGGCAAAAGGTTTTCTAAAGTATTGCAGAAATGAGATCGAATGTCTTCGTTTGATTGAATGTAAACACCGTTAAAATACAACAGTGTCATGGCATTTCATGAAAGTCACGAAATGCAATCTATTGGTTTCGTTTACAGGGGACACAAATTGTTTTAGTGTCCCTCAGAACAACCTTTGTTTAGGGGCGACATTACTTTAAAACGAAAGATAGACTTAGGCAACAAAACCACTTATTAGGTTAAGGAAAAACATCATGGTTGGCCTTAAAATAACTACGTACAGTTAGCAACACAACCATGAACAGTGAGGTTTAGGCAATAAAACCACGTAATCAGGTTTATAAAAATGTTTGCGTCCACCACGAACAAGTCTCCTAATCAATTTTCCATTAGCAATCAGCAATATTTGAATCCTTAGTGACGTGACAATTCATGTGCCTGTACACAAAACCAATAGATTGCTACTTGAGGAGAGCATGACACACATTGAGCACTTGGATGGATAGCAGACGAGTGGATCATACTGCAGGAGCGTTTAGAGAATCTTCTAGGGAAATTTTGACGTTTTTTTGGCTCACCATCAGAAACCACTGTTTCTGGTCCAATCCCAACATCCACACTTCAAGATTCACAGACTATGAAGCGCGTTCCCGCAAATACCATAAAGGTTTAGGGCTGTCCCACTGTCAAATCATGTGTTTGAGGGCTTTCTCTCAGACATTTCGAGTTCTCCAGGGGGGGAGAAAGGTAAAAAAAGAGGACGGCACATGGGTTTTCAGTCTGGAATATTATGTTTACACAGAAACATTAATGATTTAAAATTAGATATGGGCATAAAAACATATGATATCAGAGTAATGCGAGCAGAGACTATTTTAAACACCTGGTTTATTTATCAAGCATTACTTTTCATTTCAATAATGAAGCTGTTTTGACAAAAACGAGTAAATAGATTTTAAAACTACCTTTTGTAATGTGAGGCAAGGAATAAGGAAACTGAGTGTTACCTCACAAGACTCGTGAGGCAAGAGTCAGTTTCCTTATTGAATTCCATCAATAAGGAAACATTTTACAAGTATACAGCTCTGGTAGTGGCAGCGACCTGTCGTTCACCGTGTAGCCCCGCCCTAAAGCACCCCCTGCTTTATGGTCTGTTTGACTCTAAATGGACCATAATGTACTAAATGAACATCATGCTGTATTGAAGAAGACCTGAAACTAGAGATTGAGACCATAAACTCATGTTTACAATGTTTTCATTTGACAGGTTCACCTGAATGGCAGCAGGATACGGGGAGAGAGCGGTGGAGCCCAGGTTGCGTCCCAACAGCGGGTTGAGTGGCGTGCTAAGTGACGTGTGTGTAGCACGCCAGTAAGCCTCCAGGTACTCTGCCAGGTGTTCACAGGCGTCTTCCAGCTGGTTCTCATCCAGAATAATATCAAACATCTCCTGTGGTGGGAAAGGAAGAGAGGAATGAGAAGCTTCATGACTGCTGAAAAAGAACTAAGCAGCTGCTGCGTTGTTTTAAGTTTAAAAGTTTGAAGTTCACTCACAGAAGGGCACTGTGATAGTTTCTCCGCGGCAACAAGCTGCACATTCAAGTGTTTGCTTTGAGATTTCCCTCTTGATTTGATCAGCCTCTGGAGGACCTGTGGTAAGCACATTAAAACAGTAGAAAAACACTAGGAAATATCTTCAATTATGGATTAAACAACGGCTACCACGTCTAAAAGTCATGCCCTACGCCTCAGACTTCTCCTCACTGCCAGTGTGCAGATTCAATCCCCAAAAGACACCACCTCCAGCTTTAAGACTAGTGCAGTGCCCGTTGGGGGTGTAGACGCTCAGGGCGTACAGATTGCATGCTTATTGCAGCGTTGTCGAGAACTGCTCACTGCTCTTTGACTCCAGGGAAGTGAAGAAGAGTTTGGTTGTCCCTCCATCCATTGTCTTCAGCTTCTTCGGGGCTGGTCGTTTGGGCAGCAGGCTTAGCAGAATCACTGCTGACGCCGCACTGAACCGAGTGTCCATGTCCCGCTCCATTTTACCCTCACCGGTGGACAAGAGCCCAAGATACGTGGAGTCCCTTGCTTGGGGCAGTGACTCACTCCCAACCCAGAGGGTGCAATCCATTGTTTTCAGATAGAAACCCAATGGCCTCAGACTTGGAGGTATTGAGTCTTTGACTTGAAACGTTAGTACATCCAGAATCCAGCAGCAAAAGTGAACTGCAGTAAAAGAGCCGTGGCTCCATTGAGCGGACAACAAAGCCCTGCATCCTGTTGCAAAGAATGCTGTTCCATTATTTATTCAAAGTTTATCAACATTGAAAGCGTCACCAATTTGGACGCAATTAAAAGTGTCAAAAATAAATATTAAAGATATTAAAGATATTAAAGATATTAAAGATAGCTCTAGCGACTAGCATCAGGTCAAATCTCAACACATTTGACAAAGCACTCCCTCGGTTCCAGCAATACATCCGCCAAGTGTGCAGGAGCTTGTTATTAAAAAGACAAATACAACGTATTGACAAAGAGCTGTGACACTGTTTACACAAGTTGGTAAACTCTTGAAGTAAAGGCGTGGACTGGCCGTCTACCTCGAGGTGTAACTGTAAGTCTTTATAGCTTAGGAACTTGGTGTGAAGTTAGTTTGCACACAGACTATTCTCAGTGGCTCAGTGGTAGAGCAGGGTCGTCCTTCAATCAGAGGATCGGTGTTTCGATCCCCGGTTCCACTAGTCCATGTCAATGTGTCCTTAGGCAAAACACTTAACCCAAAATGACAGTGTGTGAATGGGTATGAATGTCTAGCTAAAGTCCTGATGGGCAGGTAGCCCCTCCCATTAGTGTATGAATGTGTGAATGATGACATGTAGTATTAAAACGCTTGGAGTGGTCGGAAGACTAAAAAAGAGATATACAAGTACAATCCATTATCCATCGGATGGGCGGTTCTGGAGATATCTCTTTTTAAAATGTTACAGTGAAATCACAAATTTGCCTCTGAGGGCTTTAAAATCTGTACAGCATACGACATCCTCTGTCCCGGGACCCTCAGATCGGTACAGGAAATACTCCCCCCCCAAAGAATAAAAATAAAAACATGATGACAAATAATAATAATAACAGCTATAATAGAATAATTAACTTATGCATTATGCGGAAAACACAGAGACAGAGAGACAGAGATTCCTCGCTTTGTCGTTCGATACAGCTAGGAAAGGGCAACACGTGCTGAATCAGCACAGTTTGACGGATGTCTATCCGGGATCGAAGCCTTAAATCTCACCTTAGGCGAGGACACTTTAACGTGGACGATAATGGGCGCTAACGAGGTCTTGATGAGCTGTGCTGGATGGTTAATTGTGTCTGCGTCCAACACGACCAGCTGCAGAGACCTGGCCAGCTCAAAGATCCTCTCTATTTCACTCTGGACCTCTGCTGCAAGAAGACACAACGACAACATGCAGCAGAACAGCTATGAACAAGACGGAGGATAAAAGGCAGAATCGTAAAAAACACTCTCGACACCTACAAGACATGCACATCATTGAGGGGGAAGAGTTCCTGTAGCTTTACCCAGGCTGGAGCGGGTGTTGGATCTCTCAATGATGGCCCTCTTACTGGGGTTGTTTAGTACTGACCTCTTGGCCAACGATATGTCAGCTGTTACCCGTGTGATGGATATCCTGCAACAACACATAAAACACACGCGTCACAGAGCGGCGTGAGGAGGTTTATGAACTGTAACGGCGGGGGGGCTTTGACTGCTCACCTTCCGTCAAACCGGTGCTTCAGGAAGTCAAACAGAGCCTTCTGCATCATATCCGTCACCTGCAGCCAGGAGGAGGGGAGGAAGAGGAGGACATGAGAGGAAAAAGAGAAGAACATTAAAGACAAAGTGTCGGGCATGTTGCAAGCAAACAAAAGAGGCTTCAACATCCTCGCACTACTGAATATGGACTCTTGGTATTATTCACATTGGGCGAATGCAGGGTCCACCCTGTCCAGGTCTGACATATATAGACAGCTCACATCCACACCTAAGGGCAATTTAGAGTCATCAATGACTTTGGACTGTGGGAGGAAACCGGAGAACCCGGAGAGAACCCACGCCGACACGGGGGAGAACATACAAACTCCACACAGAAGACCACACGTCTATCCCGGGAATCGAATCCGGGCCCCTCTTGCTGTGAGGCGACCGTACCACCGTGCAGCCCTTAATTACACACTTGACCGACACAGCTAATCTTTCCTTCTGGCTTTTCTTCTGCAGAGCGAACATGGGCCACATTAAATAAAGTGATTAAGAGCTACAATGGGAAGGGTCGCTACGACACACACGTGATGAATGGGGGGAAACTGCAAAGTGACCAGAGCGAGGCCTGGAAGTGAAACAGAAATTCAAGATGGAAGTGTCTGTTTTGAGAAGGTCGTCCTTAAAGACAGACGTTCCTCCTGCTGGTCTGTTAGACTCGAGGCCGTGAGAACATGAATCCAAACAGGCGACGCTTTGTGTGTCGGCTGCCAGTTGTCACCTGATTTATAGGAAATGAGACGACGGTGACGGAGGATTGTCGGGGGCGACGTGTCCTTTGAGCTGAAACACGGAGGAGATGTCAGATGGAAATGACTTCTGTTAACATGAGTCCTTATGGTTCCAAACGGTGATTCAGTTCCACCTCATAAGAACATTTACGGTCTGCTGTATTTTAAATTCAGCTAAATTAATTAAATTCAAGTTCAATGTTCTATTTTGTACTTTACTTTATATTTGATGCTGAGTTCCTTTCTAGCCTAACGTTAGCTTCAAGCATTATAAAAGTGGAGTTCATTAGTGAAGATTATCTTGATGAACTAAACCTGGAAGATTCATGAACGATCGTTTGACTCAGAGATTATTTTATGTAATATTCCAGAATCGAATGGAAGAATCCTATTGGCTGTTTGAGGAGGAACCAGTGATGATGACTTCCTGTTGGACTACAGAAATAACTTTAACTGCAGAACATTTGTGGTGTTGCTACTTCTACTAAAGCAAAGGATCTGAATACTTCTTCCACTGCAACTGCAGCTGCGGACACAGAATCTTGTATTTCATGAGGTTTATTAAATTGTAGAAATAATATCAATAAACCGAGAAAGAAAAGCATTCTAACGTGATTAAGAGCGTGAATCTCTCCGTCTCACTGCAGCGTTGGAGCCGCTCGGTCCTCCGTGCTGCTCACATTATTCTCTGTTTCTAGTTTCAAACCGAGCTCCGCTCATTCAGACTGATGCAGTTTACCCAGAAGGTTGTTACCACGGCAACACCAGTATTGGGAGACTGTGATTCCATGACAACCGACTCTGAGCTTCCTCCTCCTCTTCTGTTAACCCCCCCGCTTCCAAACATCCACTGATAGTCAGCTTTAATGTAGCTCAGCAGCGTCAGAAGGAGTTATCATTGTATTTGTTATTTTGTCTTTTATTTAACGAGTAAAAAGTTTCATATCTACAACAAAACACAACGACAGACACAAAGTCAGAGGCTCAAAGAACAAAGGCACTTGTTCAAATCATCAACATGATGTGATTGTCGCTGTGATGAAGTTAATTCAAACAAGCAGTTGTCTCTCAGAGACAGAAACGGTGAAACGCTCTCACAGGACAGAGAGAGGACGCTCTGACTAACCTGTGAGCTGACCGGCACACAAATCAGACTGGCAATATTGTATAAAACAGAAGGAATTAAATCACAGGAATAATATAAAATACAGAGCTGCTCTTACAGCATCAGTCAGGAGGGTAAAGAGCCTGCAGCTCGGTGAAGCTTGCAGGGCTGTGATCAGGTGGTGAGCACCATAACGATCTAGTGTTATTAAAGCCTCATAAAGGCAAATGCTGTACCATGCTTTATGCTGCACATGTTTGGTTGCAGGTACACCCAGCTACGTGGTATGATAAATTATTATGAAGTCTTCCCTACGAGAGGTGAGCCAATGAATTGCAAGGAACCCTAGATGAGTTAAGCGAGTGGTTCCCCGTCAGTACATGTTGTGGTTCTGAATGGCCAGTACCGTCCTGGAGCACAGCTGGATTCTTCTCAGTAAATATTCTCTGCAATTGTTCATTTCTGCCCCTTATGTTTGTCACTCAAAGAGGGAACATGTGAGTTATTTCACCTCAATCAGAGCTGCATCCATCTTTGATTCAACATTTCACTATCAGAGTGCACTTCTTGGACCTAAACCATAATGATCTGATCAAATAATGATCTTTCCTTCATCAACGTCGGTCTGGTTACCTGGCTGTTTGTGACTATCATAATAAAACACAATAAGACTTCAAATTATAAAAAAGGCCTCACACAGTGATGAAGAAAATGCCTTTAAATATTGTGTATTAATATATTTGGTTAATGAAAGCATTGATGTGAGCTGTTGGAGCTGCAGTGCGTCTTTACCTCGTAACCTTTCAGGGACGGTCCCACCAGGACCACCGGCCTCATGGAGGGAACCACGTCATACGGAGGAACGTGCTCAGCCTGCACACACACACACACACACACACACACACACACACACAGTCAAGAATTAATATTCATGAGTGTCTCTGTAAACAGGCAGCCTGCCTATCAAAGTCCAAAGTCACATCCTCAAAGGTATTTCATTTAATACGATATAAAACAATGAAAAGCAGGAAATCATGAAAGCATGAAAAATGAATTGGTTAACATTTATCAAATTAACTGGTGGACTGATGTAGAGAATGTAGAGTCTATGTAGAGTCTATTAATGTTGACACATTCATCCATGTTATTGATGTTTGCACTCTACATATAACTTACAAAGAACACAAATGTTAATAAAAGTCATTGTTTAGATCTCAAGAGGTAAAGTTGTCGACTCTTTACTTATTTTATTATTTTAAACTTGTTTTTTTTGTACAAGTAGTTTTTAGCTCCTGAATGTTGATGTTGATACTCACCACTTTCTGTTTCTGCTTTCCTGAAAAATAAATGAAAGATCAGGTGAGAAAGTGGAAATCCATCAGACGTTCTGAAGCATCACAATAACACAGACGTTGAATGAATACAGACACAAACATGTCAGATCTATAGATCTAGAGAGACTCTGACCTGCAGAGTTTGGGTTCGGCTTGAATGTCCCCGACACCACATCTCCCAGACTGGAGGAGGAGTTCCCGCTGGACTTACTGCTACGAGGACGGCAGCCAATAGAACGAGAGAAGAGTTAAATATCATTCTTTCTCTCACCAGTGTAACTGAGGAAAGACGATGGCAGTCTACGTCTCTACAGGCCTCGTGGCTGAAACACATCACGCCATCTGACGGAAACATTCTGTCGTGGCCCAGATCCAGAAGCACCTCTGAGAGGCCGGACCACACAGCTCGGCTTTCCTCCTCCTGACTTCCTCTCCTTCTTAACTGCCAAGTTTATTTTACTCTGTAAACCCTCCGACTCTCTTTATCCCTCTTTTCATCTCTGCAGTATGTGCTGCTGATTCCTCCTTATCTCACCCGTGGAAGCGTCCTCTCTTCTGCTCCTGCTGGATTCGGATGTTTTCCAGCTTCAGAGGACTCGGGATGAAGCCGATGTCGCTGCCTTCTTTCACCAGACGGCCGATCCACCAGTCGTTGTTGTACTTCTGTAGTCGGAGAGGACAAAAGAAACATTACTCTGGGAGATGGAGAAACAATCTCTCATTAAAAACATGTGTATTTATTTGGGATTAGATTAACAATCACATCCAGTAAACTCATTTTATCAATCAATATCGTCTTAAGACACAAAACTTGGGTTTGCAATATCTAAAACCTTCATTAAAACATGCACTTCTCACATAAAATATCTTTCATTTTACCAGAAACTAACTGAGGTGGAGGCGAAAGAAACACCATGACCTGAGAGTCTTTTACTCTGCTGACACAATGTGTATTAAAGCACGTCAGCTGGCAAAGAAAGAGTGAAGTATGGTGATCAAAAGCTCCAGAGCTGCTACTAAATGGACCTTTATGTCAAGAGAAGTGAAGCTTTTAAGCCAACATGGAGAGGAAGTGCTACATTCCACTAAACGTGCTCACTTCTGATTTATTGGTCAGATCAGATTTTCTTTGTTTGGCTGTTGACATTATTTTCTAAATGTGGCCGATATCTTATAATAAATGTGATTCATAAACCAGGATGGAGAGGACTAGATCCTGCACACAGAGCCACAGGTTGAGCATCACTGGAGCTGTACCTCTTTGATGTGGAGGAAGTCCTTGGCATCAAAGGAGACGGCCGTGCCGGCCACCGGGACGTCCTCATCCAGAGCGCCACAGTAGCTCACGTTGGTCCTCACGGCAAACGCCACCGCTTTAGTCTGCATGACGGCAGCGAGAAGAAGAGCGATCGCAGCAGTGAGGAGGCAACATGAATATGTAATAGAGAGCTCATCTCACAGGACATGAGACGTTACATCAGGATGCTGTCAGAGTGTATGTTGTGGGTTAAAGCGTGAACAGAAGCACACAGAGAGAGTTATTACAGCCCACAGCAACGGGTGGCCGCTGATGAAGAGGAGCTATTTCAGAGCTCCTGATGAAGGTGATCACTCCAGCACACAGCGGGGGGGAATCTCACTCCTAAGCCAACAAGTCTTCTACAAAGATGTCTGCTTCAAACACTTCTCTTCAGCTTTGATCCTTTGAATTCTTATGCTTTGAACTACGAGGCCGTTAGAGGGAACATGATTACATTCTCTGTTTATTTACTGGCTTAATTAAACTATTGTTTACGATTAAATAATTTGTTAAAATATATATATATATTTAGAAATCATTTTATTTTACTGGCTTTATTTAATTGAACTATAATTGATCATGACTTCATTTGTTGAAATATTAATATGTATGGCAGGTGACATGGTGTCCTTTGCTGGTGTTAAAGGCAGCATCCCAGCTGACTTCTTATCGTAGCACTGCTGCTGTTTTCTATGGAAGACAAAGGCCGCTCTAGCTAGTTTTCTCTCGTGTGTTGGTTGATGAGTGGAGAACAGGTGGCGCTGCCCGGCTGGTGGTCCGGGCTCTAGTGGTGCTGCTGCATTGGAGCACATTGCAGCTGTGTGCATCATTATTGCAATGAAGTAAATCTTATTTCATCTTAAGAACATGTGAAAAAAGTCTTTACCTGAAAGAAAAAATATAAAAATATGAATGCTTTTAGTCCAATTTAGAACACGTGATCGCGGTGCACTTCAGCCTCTTGTGGCCAACATTAGTATTACAACAACATAAAAAATGTTCCAAACTTTTTCCCCCAGATACAAAGGTGACATTTTGGATTTTTGTATTATATTTTGTCAGGTTTTCTTCAAGGGGCAGGAACCCGTTTGGTTTTGTTGCAGCTTTAGTCCCTCTTCAGTTTCTCCCTCTTCTTTGTTTAAATGCACCTCACGACATTTCTTCTATTTAAATAAGCTCAGTTTGTCATTTACGAGCCCGGTTTGTGACAGCAGTCGGTGAGACTGAGTCTGGTTTCTTTTCTTTGAGTTTCATACTCAGTACGGTACTGTGGTGTAGATATTAGTGAATGAATACAAGCTGACCTTTGCCCTCTCGAGCTGGACGGTGGCCTGCTGCTCCCTCTCCTGCTGGCCGCCCTCCTTCTCCTCCTCCAGGGAAACATCCGAGTCCGACGGTCGGCTTGTGTAGGAATCAGCTGAGCCCTGAAGAACACAGAGGACGGAAACGTTACCGGTTATTACCGGTTATTACCGGATATTACCAGTTATTACCGGTTATAACAAATGCTGTTATCATTATTATTACTTCAGTAAAAAGACTTTAATCAGGTTACGGTCCATAAAAGGACGTCACGGTGGAGCTCCTCACCGTGTCACTGGCTTCGGTTATTTAGAGCTGAACAGCTTCTCTTTAAATCACTCACATGGACAAAACATGAAGCTACATTTGTCATTTTGATAAGTTCTATTCATAAAACACATTTACATTTAAAACAGTGCAAATAGATGCAGGAGGTAAACGAGAGAGAGAGCGAGCGCATGAATGAGTCACATGATCTCCATGCAGGATCAAAGAGTGACAGATTAAAGATGATGAACCGACTGGGAGGCCACGATCACGACACATTTTATTTGTAGAGACTCAGGAAGCCCTGCCTCGTGTGTTACCATGGTAACCGATGTGCAGGGGGACCCCCGAAGAAAAACACCTCGAAAGCTTCAGTTACACAACCAGGAGGCAACCTCCAGTTCTGAAGAGTGAAGTCAGTGCTTCAAGTGTTAAAGCTGCATTCTCTCTAGTGTCCACCAGGGGGCGACTCCTCTGGTTGTATAGAAGTCTATGAGAAAATGACTCTACTTCTTTATGGTCTGTGTGACTCTAAATGGACCATAATGTACTAAATGAACATCATGCTGTATTGAAGAAGACTTGAAACTAGAGATTGAGACCATAAACTCATGTTTACAATGTTTACTGAGGTAATAAATCAAGAG